TTCCCATTTTAACAGGGAAAATCTAACGGGGATGCAGATATCGATTATGTAACCAGCTCCCCTCATTATTCCAATTAGTAACAGAAGCAATTATATGTAGGACCAAGCACCTAAACCTGCTGTTTATCAGCCCTGTATAGTCTTTAGAAATTGAGTGTGGAAGCCAAGTATGGTGATGCATGACTGCAATCCCAGCACTTGAGGAATCAGAAGAGGGAGAATTGCTGCAAGATCTAGGCTGCCCTGGCCTGTACAGTGAGTTTCAGGCCAGCCTTGGCTACTTAGTGAGACCCTATCCCAACAAACAAACAAGTAAATAAATAAGTAAATAAGGAGAAAGAGAATGGATGAAAGAAAAAAGATAAAGAATGAAGGGAAGGAAGGAGAAAAGAGAAACGGAAGAAAAGAAATTGGGCTCAGGATATAATCTACTACCTACACTGATGGAGAATATAGTCACTGCTCTTGACCTCTGCTGCTGCCTTTGATCTCTTGCAGCTAATTGCTGCTAAAGCTGGGTGTAAAACCACTACATCAGCTGTCATGGTTCACTGCTTGCGCCAGAAGACAGAAGATGAGCTCTTAGAGACCACACTGAAATTGGTAGGTGTACTCATCCTAATGGTCTCTACCTTGTGTCCTTGGCCACAGGCTTTATCTGTTCAACTTCTTTTTTCCCTGAAAAAACTACAGGGGACAGTTTCTCACTTCTCAGGAGCAGTGTCAGCCTCTTAAATCCAACTGGGATTTTTTTTCATATCTTATTCTGAAACACTTTAAATAAAAAATTATTCCATACCATGGTGAGAAGTAGCATAGCAATTTCCAATATTTATCAAATACATCCCTGTTTGCAGATGTATTTTAGTTGATAAAATTCCATATTCTTGAAAAATAACTAGCATCCTGAATATCAAGGATATTCAATTTGAAGTTTTTCAGAAAAGTTTCACATTATTTAATGGTTGATAATACAAACTAAGTTATAACACAATTATAGCCAATTTTTCTAGAATTTATGATATTGACTCAATTACAGTTTTATGATAACCATCTATCTCCCCTTCCATTCTTCTGTCATCTGTTAATTCATTCATCTATGCTCCAACCATCCTATTCCTTAATATCCTTTGATCAATCCAATAAAGATAGGTTTATAATTTTCATACTCTGTTTTCAATGTGTCCATCATTCATGAGTCATCTAACCAACATATTCCTTCACCCAGTTCAAACAGTTTTCTATTCTTTATCTAATTACCCAGTTTTCATCTGTTTAACAAGGTACCCATCCAACTCACCAACTGTACTTGTATTGACCAACTCCATCCGTCTATCTGTCCATTCAATCCTCCATCCATTCACTCACTCATCCAAAGTATAAGGAGGAGACATGAAAAGGGAGACAATGCAGATATAAATTGAACATTACCCCTCCTCATAAATAATCATCAAAGAGAGACATAGCCAATTCTCATCGGGTTAAGCCTAATAGAAGTATCAGAGAGACACACTTCAATATAGTCAGAAGGCTACTTCTCAGGGAAGTGACATTTGAGAACTGAGGGATAGTCATGAGAGTCTGTATCGAGGAAACAGCAGGACAAATGTCTAGAAAAAAGGGTCTGCAGCATCTTGAGAACTGCCACCTTTGTGGGTGAGATGCTACTCTGAGCTCAGAAGTCACCTGAGACCTTCATCACTATATCTGGACCAAGGACACCACAAGAAACTGCTGGGTCCCCAGGAAAGGCTTCTAGCACTGTGTTCTTTCTGTATCTGTGGACTGAATCAATATGATCTTGGGGATTTTGTCATCAGATTTAGATAAGACATATCAAGATGCTCAAAGACTTAAACCCTGTTTTTTTTTTCTTTTTTTCTTTTTCTTTTTTTTTTTTTTTTTGGTTTTTTTGAGACAAGGTCTCCCTGTAGCCCCAGCTGTCCTGGAACTCACTATGTAGACCAGGCTGGCCTTGAACTCACAGAGATCTGCCTTCTTCTGCCTCCTGAGTGCTGGGATTAAAGGTGTGCACCACCACATCCAGCATAAAACCCCTTTTTAATATCAGAAGAAAGTAAACATATCATCTGTTCTCCATGAGACACAGGAGGACCAGATTACACAAGAATGGTTAGCAACTTTAGGAAAACCAAAACAGGATGCCAAGACATCCTGAGATAATCTGAGATCCTGAGGAAGTGATTTCATCATCATCCAGTGCCCCATCACATGCATGTTTGTTCACACACACACAGAGATACTGAATTACTGGATGGAGGAGATACAACCCTCAATGAAGGGTTACTAGCAGTGACTTCCCATATAGGTGAGACTGAGTAGCCAAAGTGTAACACTGTAATCACTGTAGTCTTGGTGAACACAACAAAGAAAATGGTAGGCTGAACCAAGTGTCCATGAGCTTGTGGGCATCAAGATCTTCTGATGCGAGATAAGTATAGTTCTTTCAAGGATCCTTGAACAGAAAAAGGAGTGTGTTATAACAGAACCTGCAAGTAAGTATAAAGTTCAAGAGCCGGGGGCTCAGGACATGACTAGATCCAGATGTTGTGAAAAGATTATTGAGAATCTATGTGTCTCTGTACCTAACCCTTCCATTCTTCTCTGTCCTCTCTATGAAATTTTTCACCACACATAAATACCTGAACACATGAAATAATAGGAAAAGGGACACGTCCTGTCCCGATCTCATCTCACCTCCAGCCCCATCTCCCCTCAAGACCCATCACCCATTACTGGTCACCGCTTTGACCTCATCCTACTTTTTACCATGAGGAAACTGGATGTTGTTGCCAGGGGAAACAAGTGGGGAGAGGGGATAAAGAATACAGACACAAGCAGCAGCCATCCCCTCCAGAGCTGCAGGGACCCTGACTCTGGCTCCCAGGTTATACCCCCTCGCTGCTGCCTTCTCTCCCCAATCCTGCTACACCCTGTGCCCGTGCCCAGAGGACCCTTTATAAGAAGAGAGAAACTCATACCCCATGGCACAACTCAAAGGACCAGCTTTGATAAAGGGCAGGTTCTCAACACATCCTCTGCTTTTGCAGCACAAAATCGTTTTATAGAGGATTTAAATGGAGACTCCAGAGAGGTAAAGATCTTTGCTTCCTGGATTACAAGCTTTGCATCTCAACAGCGTTAAACTCTGGTTAGCTATGAATGAAGAGTTTTTCTTTGTAGAATTATAGTCATTCCTTGGGTATATACTGCTGAGATTTTAAGAGGCACAGTGTCCAGAAGCAGGTCTGGCCTGACTCACTGTTCAGCTGCCCAGTCAGCAGCTCTGTCTCCTGGGCCCTCTTCTTCTCCAGTCCTGCTCCCAAAATGGCCCTGTGGGAAGAGGGTCTTAATTTTTAAAATATCTCCTTATTTGTGTTTTGTTTTGAGACTGGGTCCTACTACGTAGCCTGTCTTGTATTTGTGATCCTCCCACCCCAGAGCCTCCCAAGTGCTGACACTACAAATATCAGCCATAATACTGAGTACAATGTGGAAATAGACTATATAAATGAGGGACAGGGCAGGTGCAGAGAGACCAGGTGGGAAGATTTTGCACTGCACTAATCCAGACAAGGGATACTGCTGGATCATAGCAGGGGACTGAGAAATAGGGTGGTGTGATATGGTTGTCGTGTGGATAATGTTGAAGGAATTTCTCACAGGACTTACTGACAAGAATGTTGTAGGGTATGAGACAAACAAGAGGGGAAAGTGCCCTTGGCTTCGCTAACTCAAGCAGACAACATATGTGCACATAACCTCATAATGCAGCTCTCAGTTCTGTGGGTCTCACGACTACTAATATCAGAGTCTTTCTTAGAAGTCCTTATGTACGGTGCCTCATCTGTTTTCTGGAATTTTACTATTTCATGCCTCCGCTTTCCCTTCTCATCTTCATTCCTCCTTGTAAATACAAGTTAGAAAATGTCATTTCCTTTCTTAAAAATCTGTCTTTAGGCCAGGTGTGGCGGTGTACCCCTTTATTACCAGCATTTGGGAGGCAGAGGCAGGTAGATCTCTGTGAGATCAAGGCCAGCCTGGTCTACATAGAAATTCCAGGCCAGCTGGGGCTACAGGGTGACAGTACCTCAAAACATCCTGAAGTGCCAGGAAGGTGCTGTGTCTATCTCTGTCCTAGTTTCCTTTCTGTTGCTGGGATAAAACACTCTGGCCGAAAGCAACTTGGGGAAGTATTCTAGTTTGGTTTCTGTTGTTTTATTAAATACCATGACCAGAAGCAACTTAGGGATTTGATCTTTCAGTCTGTACAGTCTATCATGGAGGAAAGCGGAGGCAAGAACTCAAAGCAGGAACCTGGGGCCGGAAACCAAAGCAGAGCCCACTGAGGAATGCTGCTCACCAGCTTGCTCCCTCTGGCTTGCTCAGCTAGTTTTCTTACACAGACCTGGCCTACTTGACCAAGGATGGCCCTGCCCATGGTGGACTAGGCCCTCCTCTATCAACTAGCAAGCGAAAAAATGCCATCACAGCCATGCCCACAGGTCAATCTGATGGAAGAAATTCCTCAGATCAGGTTCCCTCTTTCCAGGTGTCTCTAGTTTGTGTCGGGTTGACAAAAACTAACCAGCACAAGGAGGCAAAAGGATTTATTTGGCTTACAGTTCGGGGTTACAGTCCCTCATTGAGGGAGCCAGGGCAGGAACGCAAGTAGGAACTTGAAGGCAGGCCTTATAAAGAATTAGGTTTCACTACGGCATTTTTCAAACAATTTTTTTGTTTTACCCTCACTCTTTTTTATATGGCTGCACTAGTTACAATAGCACCCTTGCTATTGTAGGGACATGGAACTGACCTAAATATCCACCGATAGAAGAATGAATAATGAAAATGTAGAATTTTGCTCAACTGTGAAGAAAAATGTGCCACATACTATAAGAAAAATAATTCCACCCTGTGACCCTCTTTTTTTTTTTTTTTTCTTTCGGTCTTTTTGAGACAGGGTCTCCCTGTAGCCCCAGCTGTCGAGAACTCACTATGTAGACCAGGCTGGCCTTGAACTCACAGAGATCTGCCTGCCTCTGCCTCCCAAGTGCTCGGATTAAAGGTGTGCACCACTATGCCCAGCAGCCCAGGCTGCTTTGACTTTCTTAGGACCGCCCTGCACAGGCTCCTCTGTCACACTTGGTTTATTTTCTGCCCACTGCTTAGAAATGCCCACTCTTTGCTTCACCTGTCCAGAGTATTCTTTCCCAGAGCCCACTGCACAGGGCAGAAAGATCTGCTTCCTGTGGCCAGAGCGTCGTCCTTCTTTCCAGTTCCTGGGGCACCCTCCCTGCACTGCTCAAGTTTTCTAAAGCAGTCATGGAGGCACCAGGGTTGCGTTCTCCACTATTAACCCATGGACTTGGGATTTGATGCCTTCTCTTGGTCTTTCATTTCTCCAAATAGAGACTCGTCTCAGTTTAGGCACCTTAAGTGATGAGCTCAATACCTGACAAAGCTAACCATGTATCCCAAAGCTCAGGTTTTGATATAGATTGACAGATGCAGTCTGCCTTCATTAATCATGGTTGAGGGTTGCTCCCCCCTCCCCCACCTTTCCCGCCACCATCATCATGTCACTGGCTCCTACCTCCCAGTTCTGACCTTGAAACCCCCCACACTTAGCCCTGTTTAGGGCATGGTGTTTCTGTGGATGTAGGCACAGGGATCCTTGTGCTAGATGGCCACATGCAGGCAGAGAAGGGACATAGATGCTATGTGGGACGTGGTTTTCATAGATACTGTATTCTGTGTTTCTAAGGAGAAAGAGGATATTTTCCTGTCCACTGTGATTGATGGAGTGGTGCTGCCAAAGTCACCAGAAGAGATTCTGGCTGAGAAGAATTTCAGCATTGTGCCATACATAGTGGGCATCAACAAGCAAGAGTTTGGCTGGTTCATTCCAATGGTGAGAATGCACTGGCCTCTTAGCCAGATAAACGCACAGAGCCTTGACCATCATCCCCCAACCTCTTGGTGATTGAAAGTTATGTCCCCAAATGATTACATTTCAAAGAAGCTTAAAACTTTCCGATGCATTTGCCCAGAGGGTCCATGATGAAACACTTCGGAGTGGGAAATAGACACTTCATGGGGCAGAGAAGGGATTGATATTTGGAATCTTTCTAAAGTAACTACTCAAGAGGGGCTCAGGAGCCTGTCTGCCCATCAACAAAGTTTTCTGTTGGCAGCTTGAGCTTTCTCAAGTGGGAATTTCAGGGGACTGGCATCATCCTGGTACTGGACACGACATTGTTAGAAGACATGCTGAAACTAGATCCAATCAGAGTAAAAACAGACATAGTCAGAGTTCTGCAGCTCTCATACACAGGGACTTCAGGGGGTCACGACGCAACACAGACATACAGACTAATGGTTGGTTTGTCACCTGAGTCTGAGGGGGTGTGGGCTATGCCCTCTGTCCCCGAACCCTTCCTTGGTTTGTACAGTACCTTGTCCTGAATGTTCCCTTACTACCTAAAGGAAGACTGTGCCCCCTGGTATGATCAATACATTTACTTAGGTATCTTCATATAAGTCCATTGGTTTTATTGATTTTTTTTCAAAATCATAAAATCTCATGCCTGTTAAGCACCACCCTTACCCCAGAAAGTATATTCATCCAACTTTGGTTTGCTTGGTTGGTCTATTTGGCTCTTCTTAATTCCTCATGATTCACACGTTTCATTGTTTGTTTAACAGATGATGGGAGATCCATTCTCTGAAGGCAAAATGGACCAGAAGATGGCCAGTTCCCTATTACAGAAATTCCGCTCTGATCTTGTAAGGAGTCTAGGGAATCATGGGAATTGGCTGGGAAACAAAGAAGGTTGGTTGTGGCTCTAGTCACAGGCGTTCACTGTAAACAGAAACAGTGCCTGGGCTTCAGCCCTCACTTCTCTGCTCTTCCCACACTGCCACCCCAGTGTAACCAGCTCACATTGGTGCTCACCAGTCAAAGATTCCAGTGAGTCCAGGACTCATTGCGGGGAAAGATTTATTTGGAAAATTATCTACCCAAATAAGATTAATTCTATTACCAATAAAGACTACCACAATTATAAATTTGAGGCATAAGACATATTTGTAAGGAATCATATCAGACAGGCATCGTGATAGTTACAAGTTTTAAGTATTTTGCATTTCTGAGGCACAGCTCTCTTTTTTCTTTAGCCCACTGGATATTGTTGGCTCTGTAAATCTAAAGAAAAAAGGCTGACTAGCAAATCTTATGACCCAGGTCTTTTTCATTCCATTTCCCAGGAACAGTAGCTGGTTCTGAAATTATTTGTTAGGATAAAAAAGATGTCTTTCCCTTAGAGAACAGGGGACGATAGCGAATGATTATTTTTCCTTAGAGGACCAGGAAAGACAGGACAGTGTTTCCCCTGGAGAACACCTGGAGGTAGCATCCTCTGTAGAGAAGTTTTTAAGTTGTTTGGTGGCTTCAGACAAAAGGATCTTTTCCACCAAAGCCCTGGGAAACCAACAACATATTGATCCGATGTCTGACCTCCAGACAGGAGGGTTTGGCACAGCCTTCAAGTGGGTTGTAAATACAGAAGACTAAACTAGCTACAGAAACCCCAGTGATTACCAGGTGAGAGTGGTCACCTTCTGATCCATTTCAGATCATTTCTGAGAATCTTATTCCAGTGGCCACTGAGAAGTATTTAGGAGGATCAGATGACCCTGTCAAAAACAAAGAGAGGCTCCTGGACTTGTTCGGAGACGTGTTGATGGGCGTCCCATCTGTGCTCATGTCCCGTGGTCTCAGAGGTGAGTCTTATGTGTTAAATGGGAAAGGTAAACAGATAAATAGATTCAAAAACGTATTCTGATTTTCCCACCTCTCTGCATAAACAGATATTTTTAGAAGCAGGTAAGGTTGGAGTATAGCTCAATTAGTAGCATGCCTGATTCAATCATGAGTAAGTACTACAGGCCTAGTGGTATGTGCTTTTATAACCCCACTTAAGAGGTCATGGCAAGAGAATCAGAAGCTAAAGGTCACACTCAGCTGCATAAAAAGTACAGTCACAGACAGTCACAGTCTTTCCTTTGGGTATATATCTCAAAGTGGAATTGCTGGGACTATCTAAAAAAAAGTACAAGGTCAGCCTTGTCTTACCAAAATAAAAAAGAATTGAAATCAGGGTCAAGAATAGAATAGGGATGGGATGGGGCTCAGGATGAAAAAGACCAAAAGGAGATGGTAGAGAGAGGTGAAAGAGTGACAGGCGTACAGTGTGTACATCTTCAGTGTCTGTGGTACCCTGTTGTCCATGTTCATGTATGCCAGTTGGAAAAGGTGAGAGCCAGGCAGGGTACCACAGACACTGAAGATCTATACAGGGAATTTGTGACATCAAGATCAGGAGACATTTGGCCACTTTGCATCCCCAGCCAGGAAACAGAGATTCTTGTTCTCTGCTCACTTTTTCCTTCTTATTCAGTCAGAAACCCTGTCCTTGAAATGGTACCTCCTACACTTAGAATGGGTCTTCCCACCTCAGGTAATTTGATCTAGATAATCTCTCACAGACATTCCTGGAAGTTTCTCTCCTACATGATCCTAGAAGGCAGCCCTGTGGAGCTGATAATCAACATTGACCATCACAGTCCTGTATACCTAGACTGAAGCCAGAAAATAGTTTTGTGGGCGAGGCTTCTGTCCCCAGCAGGCTGGAGCTATTTTTAAATGCGTGGCTTTATAACACTGTGATACTTTGCTGTAATATCCATCCATCTTCCACTGTTTCACTTTTTACCTTGGAGTCACCTGTGAACAACTCCAAGTAAGGAGAAGAAGAAAAAGAATAAAGGGCAATACGACAGACATTCATAGATTTACAGCGCACGGCTGATCGTATGCTCTATGAACATGATACAGACTACTCCAATCCGACTAAGACATTATCTTCTTAAAGTTACCTTTTAATTTCCGTTCTAATTTCTTCAATGTGTATTTGTTACTTAGGAAAATGTTTAACATCACGAATGTGTGAATTCCTCCTGATTTTGGTTTCTAGTTTCATTCCATTTCGGTCTTTAAATTAAACAAGACTGTCTTGAGCTCATGTGTAATCTATTCCCGAGAATGTTCTGTGAGTGCTTGGGAAGAATGTACATTCTGCTGGGGCTGAGAGAGAATATTCTTTGCATTCTGCTAGGAATCTTTGGTCTACAACCTTTGCTCAAGTTCAGTGTTTCCTTATGAATTTTCTGTCTATATGATCTGATCAGTCACTGAAAGTGAGCTTACTGTAGGTGCTTCTATTACATTATTGACCTCTCTCTCTCCCTCCAGATACTTTAATATTTGTTTTATACATACATGTACTCTGATATTAGATCTGTGTTTACCAATGTTATACCCTGTTGATGAATTGACCCCCATCAACATGTAATTTCTTTCTTTTTCTCTTTTTAAACCTTCTGATTTAAACTCCATTGGTGATGTAAGCAGCTGCCTCTTCTCGGTTTTGATTTTTCATTGTGTATTGTAGCTGCACTGGATAGTTTTAGTGTCAACTTGACACATGGGCGGAGGGAGCCTCAGTTGGGGAATTGCCTCCATTGGGCTGGCCTGTGGCCATGTCTGCGGGGTTTTTCTTGATTTTTGAGTGATGTGGGAGGGCCCAGCCCACTGTGGGTGGTGCCACCTGCCCCCTGCAGGTTGTTCTGTATTGTATAAGAAAGTATGTCGAGCATGGGCTAGGGGGGCAAGCCAGTAAGCAGTGTTCCTCCATGGCATGTATTCCAACTTCTGCATCCAGGTCCCTGCTCTGAGTTCCTACCTTGGGTTCCCTCAGTGATGAACTATGACCCTGGAGATGTAAGCTAAATAAACCCTTTCCTCCCCAAGTTGGTATTGGTCAGAGTGTTTTGTCATGGCAATTGAAGGCAAATTAGAACATAAATTGGTACCAGGTTGGTGGGGAATTGCTGTGTCAGACCTGTTTTGGGGAGAATTGTGGAAGTGTTTGGAAATATGGGCTGGAAAAGCCATTGAGTGCTTAGTGTTTGATGCTATGGAGCTTGGAACAGTTATGCTGAAAGAGATGGAGGCCTGGCTTATGAAGCTTCAAAGGGAAGTGGAGAATATCAGGGCTGTTTGCATGATATCTTGAGTTGAGAATCTATGGGTTCTGGTCAGTTGGGGCTGAAGAATCAGCTTTGTTCAAGAAGAGATTGGGACCATTGAAGTGAAACCTTTGTTTTACTGGGACAATTGATACTGGCTAACTGGTATTGAAAAATCAGGTGTAACAACAGACCAGCATCACTGTGTCAAAATCTTCTGGGAAGTAATTTTTAGGGTCAGCACCCAGAAATAATGGTCCAGAGGGGTCCTAAGCCTCCATCTCAAGCTGGAAGCAGGGCTTGGTAATGTGTAAGACTCTTCTGCATGGTTCTGGTGTTGAAAATGTGAGGTCAGGAAAGGCCATTGGTGAAAGTGCAGCCTCAATAGCAGCGAAGACCCCAGGATTGAAGGAGTCATGGAGAAAATTGAGGCTTTGCACCCAGAGAGGCGAGACAGAGCCATTGATGAATATGAAATCTCAGTTTCAGTGGATATCCTCATTTCTTGTAGGTGCTAGGACCATGGGATAACACACCAAAGGCATAAGCAGGTGTGGAATGGAATTGGCCTGAGTGTGCAAGAAGAGCTGTGTGCTGTGGATGGCAGAGTTGAAGACGTGAAGCTGCCAAACCCTTTGGAGTCCAGAGATCATGAGTGAATCCCAGATGTCCAGCCTGGAGCTATTTTGATGGACTTAGGTTTTGCTAAGTGTGACCAATTCTTCCCTTTTGAAACAAGACAGTACTTGTTTGGGATTTTCCAGGAGCTCAGGGTTACTAGGCTTTTGAAAGAGACTATGGACTTTTAAGTGTTTGGATTTTTTAAGTACTGTGAAACTTTTAAAGTTGTGCTGTCTTACCATATCCTAGGGACAAGAAAGGAAGTTTATGGTTTAACAGTGATGTGTTTGTGTGTCAAATTGACAAGGGGTCAGTTGTGATGGATAGCTTTAGTTGCCAACTTGGCACCTCTGGGTAGAGGGTGCATTGCCTCCATTAGACTGGCCTGTGACCATGTCTGTGGGGCATCTTCTTGATTATTGAGTGACGTGGGAGGGCCTAGCCCTGGGCAGAAAGCAAGTAAAGCAGGGGCCAGGAGAACAAGCTAGTAAGCAATATTCCTCCATGGCCTATGCTTCAGCTCCTGCCTCCAGTTTCCTATCCTGAGTTCCTACCTTGAGCTCCCTCAGAGCTGAACTGTGACCCAGGAGATAAAAGATTAAAAAAAAAACCCTTTGCTCCCCAGGTTGGTATTGGTCAGAGTGTTTTGTCACAGCAATTGAAGGCAAAGTAGAACAACTGAAGTTGTAAATTCACTCTTTCA